TCATCTCGAAGAACCAATAAAATATAATACCTTGTTGTATCGCATGTGGCAGTCTGTGTTGCCAGGTGTAGCGGTTAAGAATATAATGGAATTTGTTTTACACGTGAAACGAAACGACCGTCCTGAGATGCATAAAGTTGTATTGAAATTTTATTCTTAAGTAACAGCAATTTATACTTATAGGTTATATTTGATAAAAAAATATAGAAATGCAAAAGATTTTTTGATTTACAAATTGCAGAGTCAATGATTTTTGAATGAAACTTTTTTAATGTTATTTGATTAATATTTACATAAGCGACATTAAGTAAAGTACACATTGTAATGTTGGCAAAACTACAATTATAATGTCACTGACTGTGTGAGTGATCTGTGCTGTCTGTTTCTATCGTGCTATTTATACTTTGATGTTTTTCGTTTTGAAAGACTTCACAACAGCCAATTATCATCTTGATATTAGGATGTTTGCTTGTTGATTCCTTACAGAGTGAATCAAAGAGTAGTATTATTATTATAATAAAAAATAGTATAACGTTTTGTCAAAACAATGTCTTTTCGATCCCCTATAGTACTGTCAAACAATAACCTAACTTTTAGTTCAATGATTTCAAATATCTGTGCTATCCCGTAGATCAGGTTTATAATTTTAATACCCGTAGAATCGGTGTATTTTGTGCTATAAAACGGGCTAGATATCATCAGTGTAACGGTTAGGCCTAGAGTCCTAAGAAAACTCGCCGATCTCCTTTCTCATCAGCATTAAGTTCAAATTCTATTTGGTTTCTTACAAATAACCAGAAATCTAAGAGTTCTATAAACTGTATTCTATGAATTATAAACCAAGATCTGCGCCTAATTCAAACATTGTTGTGCGTCTTCAGCTGTAAGATATCAAGTTATTGAACTCGTTTAAAGAGTTTTGGATGTAAGATGCAAGTATTCTACATATAAATCGATTTCTGCCTGTTTATCTCGCCAAAATTATTTGAATTTCAGCTTCTAAGAACTATCAGTTGCACATGTTTATGCACTTTGACTGTTGTGAGAAAATACAATCAAGAAAGTTGAATGCAGAAATTAGTGTATTGGTTATATTATAAGTCTGCAAACTCCTTTTTTAAAATGGGAAGTTTGTAAGTTATAAATAATCTCTTTAATAGTTTTAAAAGAAAAACAAAAATGTAAAATAAATGGGTAAATATTAATATATTGGTTAAAGTATTTTGATCTGCTATTCTAATAACTTAAATTGAGTTTGTAAGCTCGGGCATAATTAGAATATTTAACAAGATCCGTGATCATGTTAATCCGTGATAATAGACAGACGGAAACAGAGTAAGAGGGAGACAGAAAGAGTAATCATGACCCCCGTTTTAGTATGAGGTTTTTAAATTAACTGATTTCATTGCTGTGAAAACAAACTATAACTAAAATATATATATATCGTATATGTATATACATACGACCTAAATACTTAAAGGGGTTGTAGTTGCCATCATTTCTGATAGATTTCACTATGAAATACCATATCCAAAACCCAAACATTTTCAGGATATAGGACTTTTAAGATTTTTTTAAATTGCCGAAATATTGCCTATTTTTTTTATAACCTTTAATTTAATGGTTTTTTTTACTGTTTTTGTATAGTTGATATATTGTTTTATAATTTCCATTACTAAAATTGGAGTTAACTTAACCGACTGGGCCGAAGTACACGGTTAATAGTAGCAAAAAGAAAAAAAATATGTAAAAACATCTTTTTTCTTTGTAGAAAATTAAAAAAAATCTAAAATAGTTAATATGCAGATGTGTTGAAAGACATGTACGTATTATCAGCTATCTAACAAGGTATAATAGTCTAGGTTAGTATTAGAATTCATAGGAAAAAAAACTTTAATTAAACCGAGAGTATTAAGAATTAGCGTACAACTCGGTAGTACCTAGTTCAAAACTTGGCTTGTATTATTGGACTGTTTCGTTTTCTATTCATGACTAACTATTGCTAACTGACCTTCATTTTTTGCTTCTGATACTGTTGGAGATGATGACCTTTACGAACGAGGAATATGTTCATATTTTGATTTCTTACGGATACTGCCAATGCGTATCCGCACGGGCTCGTGGATGAATACATAGCAGGCTATCCCGGCCATCGATTGCCGGATGTTATTGTTTTGGACGGAGCCTAACGACAACTTAGAGCTACCGGTTCAAGGCGACGATCTGATCTGGGTAGATCACGTTTCACTGATGAAGATGACGAAGAAAGCAACGAGATAATTCTACGATTTAGATTGGTTCCAAGAACTTGTACGTTTAATGTTTCGTATTATGAAAACGTAGTACTTTACAGGACTAAACTATTTTTTAGTAATTTTTAGTTTAGCAAGTTTTCGAACAACAGAATTAGCACCAATGGCTAAGATGGATTTGGTAACAGGACTGATGTCCAGGAATTCCTCTGGGAAAATATAATTTGAATTTGGCCATAAAGTAGCTTATAAATAAGTTATATCGTTACAGTGTTGCCGTATTGTGCGTGACATGCGACATCGCACATTCGAAACAGCATGTTTTTTAGCACAGAGTTGCCATATGTATTTTTTCTGTCTATCCCCATATACATTGTTTGTCGTGTATCTTAGAAATAAAATATGTTTTCTTTCTTTCTCTCTTTCAAACAACGGATTTGCAACAAGACCGGTTTATGGATTTCTAAAGGCCCTTGGAAGTTTATATTAAATGTCTGGGTTATTGTAATAGAAGTAGTTTACAAGTAGAATACGTCAGATATAAACAAATTATGTATGATACGCATATTAAGGGGATTCAAGCTCTTAAAAGTTAAATTAAATTATATATCCAAATTGAAAGTATATAAAGTTTAAAGGATCATCTAGTATCACAAAATCTAGAAGGTAAAGTTTAAGTTTTAAGGCACGTTACTGGATGAATATTAAGTCTGGGATAATTTCTAACTACATCATCTGTACAGGCCTAAATTAACAACTATTCTCAACTGCAGACCCACTTAAGATTCTCTAACTGAATATAGATCAGATCATCAGGCAGATCAGTTAAGTTTGTAATACAAAGTGACTGAACCCAATAATTTGTATTGGGTTATTTATTTTGAAAAATAGATTAGCAACATTGGGGTCCGATTACAAATATCTCTTGTACTGAATGCAGGAGGTATTAGGTACTCGTATATGATGAATGGTACATTGAGGTTTGTAGGCAGAATATTGAGAGATTAGCTATATTATTTTAAAAAAATATACTTCTAATAGGTTTGCCTGTAATATATTCCAAATTCCAATTTTAAACTACTGAGTTTAAAGTTTCAAAATATACATTTCAAAACCTCATAATTGGGAAAGAAATTAAGACTTTTTGTTTTACACGGCGCAGCTTTTAAAGTTTTTGATTTCTATTTTCTCATTTCGCCAAACGTTGGATGGAACCAACATGAGTCACAGGGATTGCGACGTGGAAAAACTTTTAAACGTAATCTGTCCAATAGATTCGGAGCCAATTCCCTTTTATTGACAGACGCACGATAATCTTATTAGGTAATTTAAAATTTCGGTGATCGACTTTGGTCAAGTTTAAAAAAAAATGCAAGGTATACATCCATACTTCCACTATTAATGTCGCCTAAACCACTAAACTGATTTTTAAAAATTCTTTCATCAATCGAAAGCTACATTATCAGCAAGTAACATAAGCTACTATTCACCGCGATTAACGATATACACGTTGGAGTCGCAGGCAGAAGCAAATAATTTATACAAATAATAATAATTTGTACAATAATGGCATGCCATTACAAGGGAGGATTGTACTAAGCTTGTACGCAACATGCCAGCTAGAATTAATTCAGTAATTAAATGGACCGACTAGATTTCAAGTTTTTTTCATTCTTTTTTGTGTAATTTAATGGTAATAAATCAATTCAAAAAGTATAAGTTGTTTTTTTCCTTTATTTTAAGTAAAATGTAGGGTGCCTAATACTTTTGGCCAAGGCTGTATATGAATTTCTTAGTATCTCTTACATACTGGAATGGAAACAAACTTGGTCAAGTTTCAAGTAAATTAATAACTTGGCAAACTGTCATAACAGTAATACACATAAATAATTAGTGTTGTCGTGAAGTTGTTAGATTATAACTTTCAACTATAGTTGATAAAAGTCGTTTGGAAAAAAATTCTCAAGACTTCTAAACATAGCAAAGGTGGATCTATTGAAACCCATGATGTTTGTGATGACTTGGTATCGATTGTTCCTACAGCAGTTGCTAAGTTAACTATTGACAGAATGTCCAGAAATAACAGACCGTGATAAAAATGTTATTACCAGGTAAGGAAAAAAGGAAGATTATGTTTTCGAGTGTATTTTTCTGAGAGCCTTTTTCGCAAACTAAGTTAAGGTCGGCCTTAAATCTACTGCTATACAACTAAACTTCGTTTTTTTGTGCGAAGCGAATGCTTTTAGACTTCCACAACCAAAGTACTAGGCGATATCGATATTCTGTAAAAAGATTATTGTCGGACTATTAGAGCTACAACTACCCGTCACGATTACCACAGATGTTCGTATGGCAACCGGGACCGACGGCTGGTCATGCTCTCCGAGGTACGGAGGAGTCTCAATGTGTTAAGAATGATCACCCATTCATAGGTTGACCTGGCTAGGATTGCTTAACTTTGCAATGTGTTAACCTACCAATTAACCACGAGCCCCTATTGTAGCGAGCGACGTTTTCGAGTGTATGTATGTAGGTAATTTGTCTTTCTTTAGCACGCTTTAGTCGACATGGCTCAATAGATTTCGTCTAAGAACTTCTGTTGGATTTGCCTTAATTGTCAGAGTATCAATTGGTATATGAAAATTCAAAGCACATTTTAAGTACTACTTATATATTACCACCTAGTCGAGTATTTTGTATATTTTTTTAATTAGCTTGCCTTAATATTCAATTGTAAAATATACTCACCATTCCCTCTCATAGGTTGCAGTTCAGACACGAGTAGTATCGGCGAGTTCAGCAATATGGACAGCATCCAGACCATGGCTATCATCTTGTATGCGTGGCATTGTGTCTGCCACTTCCTCGATTTGAGGGGGCGGCATATCGCAAAGTATCGTTCAAGCGATATGGCGACAAGGGTCCAAACGTCCACTGATACGGAGACAGCTATAAAAGAAAACATATGTTAAACAGAGTTCAGTAGAGTTCAGTAGATGATGCAGATGAACAAGAGCTTCATTATGGATTTTGAATTATTGAAAAATTTGAATTTAGATTTATTTAATTATCTAGTGGAGATTTAATACGATCGTTTACTGTCCAATTACTTAAATATAAATACAAACATTCATGTTGGTTTCTTCTAAGAATTAGAAAAGCGTATTAAATGCCCACTTAGAGTCATCATTTTTTTACCAAGCATTTTAGGAATTGATTGAAAAGATATTGAAAAGGAACGTAAAACATCAAGCAAAGAAAAAGTATCATATGTTGATTCCTTATACTGATGGGTGTGATGAGATTTTAAACAAGACATCAAGCAGTCAGGGTTATATTCCTACAGGTATTCTGATTGACCATTACTGAGTCTGAGCCCTTTCACCAAATCTATAGAAATTTGTATGAAATTACCTTATTTTAGTGTTTGATGTAACATTAAAAATAGTTACCATGAAAATAACAACGATCGAAATCATTCTTATTCTCACACTTGACATAATTTAATTAAAAATCTACAAAAAAAGTAAATTTAAAAATATTCAATTCTTGATAACACATTTTAGAACTAGAATTTTAGAATAGAACTGGCTGTGAATGTCAATGGGATAAAAAGAAAATTTATAAAAAGAACGCGTGAGATGAAAAGAATTGTAAATCTTCAAAGGATTCTGGAAACAAACATCATCTATTTAAATCGGAGAATATTTTTATTTGTGGAAATATATAAAACAACATTCTTGCTTTTCCAAATACCTATATTGTATTAAAAAAACATCGATGTTGAAAGGATTTATTGCCACCCATAACAAGGAACGTGCAATATTCAATTTAGTAGAGATTTCCATATTTGTTGTATTTACATTGAAGAAATGTATTCCACGCTGTTGTTGCGCCAAATATTGAGGCTTTTTTGTTACTTAAATTTTTGGCCTGCTTCTACTAGGCTTAGTGACGGCCTCACCTGTCACTTTCTCGAGTCTCAAGACTCCGACCCAACTACCGCGCCTCCTTGCGCCACCGATACAGAGCCGCAAGGGCTCTCGCCTCCAGATCCTACGGTGGAGTTCCGGCCAGGAGACTCGTCGCCTCAAAGGAGATCGTTACCCTCATTACCCTGATGGCCAGAACTCGCTGCGTTCGTCGCAGGAATGCGAAGTTGCTGTCCTTCAGGGCCCCCACCCATACTGGGGCCCCATAATGGACCGCACAACCCCCGAGTAAAGTCTCCTGTAATGCACGCGCTGCTCCAGCCAACTTGGCGACCAGACGTCGGAAATGATGTCCGAAGTCGACCATCGAGTACGAGCCCCAGATAACTCATCGAGGGCACGACGCCGATGCGAGTGCCTCCTACTATGAGGCTGGATCCCTCAGGTGGCTTCTCCGAGACCCATGAAAGAACAAGGCCTCGGAAGTCATCTTCTTTGATTACGTACGTACATAATCCCTTTGCAATAGTTCGAGTGTCATACTACAATCGATATTCACTGGCGTTTATGGGTTATTACGTCTTAATATTAATGAGAGACGTTCACTTTGTGCTTAAGCCGTTCACCTTTAATAGTAGTATCTATTATCGATCCACTTAAACACATCATAACTCAAACAGCATTGAAAAGTAACATTAACGGTGCCAATTATCTGCTGGGTTAATTTCTTCAACATTTAAATGACATATCGACGAACTGTTAAATGTTTTTAGATTATGTACCTATTATTGTAGTTAACGAACTAAACATTTCAATTCAAAACAAAAAAATTAGGTTACATTCTTTTCGCGGGCTTCTGCATGCTACGTCACATAATGAACCGGCTAAAGAGATACTCAGACGACCTCAAAGAAAACTGTTGCGAAGCCACGTTATAAAGAAATAGCAATCGAGTTAGTGAGGTTACTAGAAAACCCACTAGCCCTCACCACTAATTATGGGGGAGACGAGCCTCAATGGCATATGCATGGGCGGCTATAGTCGCTTACGAAGAAAAGAAACTACACTTATGGTTTAGTTTTTATAGTTAATGTACTTTAAGAGTTACGTCTGTACAAGTTTCACTACCAGCACAAAAGATTGTTAGTGTTCTATCTATGCACTGATTTTTATTTGTCCAATTGTTATATTGTTGAAGCGCTTGCAGCTTGCAAACTATAAATTGTTTTATGGTATATTTCATCAACAGCCTAAAATAGTCCACTGCCGGATACAGCCCTATCCTTAGAAAGGAGGTTCTGGCCTACTATACCACGCTGGCCAGACGGTATAGGGTTTGTGTCAAGTTTCCCTTCCTTTTGAGGTGCTGGTGACCTTCATTTTTTTGCGCCTTAGTCGTCTCTTACGATACCCATGGGATGAATTGGGGTAGTGACATTCCGTATTCTTAATCCGTCACTACACGTACTATCCGTCACTACTACCGTTGCTACACAAAAATTCAGCAACAAAAATATTCTTGGCTTATTGCGTGTTTCGTGATGTGTCTGCACAATATAAATGTCGAATCGCATTGTCCATGTAAGTTTTATGTTGTTATATGGAACATTTTATTAATGCGTTAAAAATTTCTGCACTATCATCTTGTCGAGGACGGAACGAGCAGCTATGTATTTACGAGTCATGATATTAATTAAAAATAACGTGTATTGTACAAAACGTGTATTTAATTACGACTAGTGTAACACATCGCACCCACACACGCAAACGAGTACATACCCTATGTCACAGATAAAATGTTTGGTTGAAGTTAAGGTAAAATAAGTCAAAATCACGGGATAATAAAGGCATGGAAAAACGAAACACCGTTAATTCACACGCCACGTACACGCTGCTCGCCTATGCTCAATTCAGTTAGCGTAAAGGTGCATGTAGTAGATTAATTTAAGTACAATTTCACATATTATGTATATAAAAGGAGTCTCATTTATTCTGTGACTAAGCAAATTATAATAGCTTTTAGCTTTTCCCGTGGCTTTAGCTTTTAGCTTTGCCCGCGATAACCAAGATACACGCAGGCGTGTATGTGGGTTATCGCGGTGAAACGTAGCCTATGTCCTTCCTCAAGAATAAAAGTATCTCCATGGCAAAGTTCGTAAAAATTAGTACACCCGTTTAGCCGTGAAAGCGTAACAGAAACTCTAAGTTCTTCATTGATCTCAAATAATAGTTTTTACTTTATTAATGGCAGCATGCTTCGCTGCTTGACAAAGAATCCCATCAGGTTTGAGTTCAGTCCGACATCCTAAAAATACACAGTACTTAACATGTTTAGTTAGTTTGCTCAAGACTCGCCCAGGAATATTATTAGTCAGTATTAAGTAGTGCGCCAACAAAGGTTTTCTTTATAAATTTATACATTGATATTACATGTTGGTTATACACGGATAATGCCGTTGAAAGTTATTATTCAGTCCACTTTATATTTTATCTTTTCATCATCTCTAACACACTAACGACAGCTGAGTACTTTGGTCGTGTTTTATGCGCCGCCGCGCAGTCAGCTATCATAAAATTTTGCATATTGTATAATATACAGACGATATGTTAACAAGGAATCGAGAAATTACTTTCGGGCAACAGTTGAGATAGTTTTATAGCATAAAGCGTTTGTATAACCTTGTAGCAACTTCAATAGCAACACTGGAATAAGCTGTAAGTTCTATTCCGTTGTAAAATAAAATGTAACAGGATAATATTATTTCCATGGAGGCACATTAAAAAGAATTATCATTTTGTTCAAGTATGTGATCATTTTTATGAGAAACGGCTTCAATGTTTATGTTTTGCATTAACTATTGGGTGTTTTTGCGTCCGTTACATGTACGTTTGTAAAGTCCACTGCAATACAGAATATATTCCTAATGCGGGAGTTGTCTTTTTCAAAGAAAAAAAAACATTACGGCTTTTTTTAATGCGACAATACGTGTTTAGAAAAATAAAATACAAATATAAACACAACATATGTATATGGTATGGAAAGTAATATTTTTACAATTTCTTCTTTGTAACATTTTTCGAATATTATTGACGTCTACATCCATGTCTATTCTTGCTACAAGTTCCAGTCTTAGACACTAAACATATATGTATAACACTATAGAATAAATAATTCATATAAACTCACCCTGTAGAAATGGTATAAGCTTGCACATAAGAGCACCGAAGAAGAACCGCCTGTATATCTGTCCGACTAGTGTGAATGGCAAGCAGAACACGCCAAGTAGAAAGTCCGAAATCGCCTGGAATAAATTTATTCAAATTGAATTCATGTAAATATCAGATTTGGAAGGCATGCAGTTAGTATTGTCTTTGCTTAAGATTTAATGTCGTTTTTGCATGATATATCGTTAGTAATTTATTCAGAAGTTATCTAAACGAAAATTTCGAATTTCTTTCTCAGTTAAAATTCGTTAAAGTAAAAAAAATATATAGTTATCTTCTTCTACGAAAATGGTGATCAATGACCTAACTTTTATGACCAATGGAAGCTCATTTTTATTTAGTGTGTACTAATGCTACACTGATATTATATGGTAAAGACAAAAAAGAAAAACGAAGGCCAGTACATGACCTATTAAGGACCGTACAATTGTACAAAAAACAAAATCTTTAAATTGGAGATTTGACATTTAAACTACAGAACAGCAAAACTTTGGAAAACCAACTGAAAGAACAAATTTAACAGCTACTTTTATGGATAGTTTAGCGTCACTAGCTAGTACAAAATAAGGTGAAGCGAAATAAATGTTTATAGAAGTTGGCTGCAGTCCCTAGAATAACATGACTTTCTCAATAAGCTCCTTATAAACTACTTACAGAAGATTCTGCGCAGATACTTCAGTAGACTTATATCTGTCTTAAAACACAATGATTTATTTCCATTTCATATATTCAGGTGCCGTCTGGCTGAAAGTAAGTAAAGTATATTTTTGTAGGAATATAAATCATGAAATATATAGATCTGATTTAACTGTCAGGAAGGTTGTGGTACAGTGAATTGGGTACTCGTACATGATGAAAAACTCGTTAAGAGAAGGAAAACTTGAAACACACCCTATACCAATCCGTCTGGCCAGCCAGTGGTATTGTAGGCCAAAACCTCCTTTCTAAGGAGAGGCCTGTGTCCAGCAGTGGACTGTTAAAGGCTATTGACGATGATGACATGATGAGCACCACCAGTCTATTAATAAGCAAATATATTAGGTCTTTACTTATTAGTACTTAGTACTTATTTTTCAATTTTTTTTATTTCTGTTATTCGAAGCAATCAGCCATGCAATCGACGCATCTTTGCCAACGCATTGGCAGTTTATTGATGCTCTTGTAAAAATCATCTGAACGGGGTGCAACAAACTCTTCAAAGGCATTTTGTACTGCCTCTCGGGAATTGAATTTTTTACCCACTAATGTTAGTATGGAAGGATGAATATCGATCATGTTATTGTCTGATAGCTATTAATATTGTATATATACTTTAAGGACCATGCAAGCACTTTAATATTTTCTTCACTTCAATAGATTGAATTTTGACGAAATTGATGATTGAAAAAAGTGAGCCTATAAACAAAAAAAGCTATGGTTTATTTTTTGGTCCTTCATCATCATCAACAACCTTTAACAGTCCACTACTAGACATAGGTCTCTCCTTAGAAAGGAGGTTTGGGCCTACTATACCACGCTGGCCAGACGGGTTTGGTCTAGGGTTTGTGTTAAGTTTTTCTTCTCTCTGCAGTGCTGTTGTTCTGCGTAGCTTTTTCCCTTAGTCGGCTCTTACGACACCCACGGAATGAATACAGGTGGTGACATTCTGTAATTTTAATCCGTCACCACACGGACTTTCCTGTCCTGGTCCTTCATGTAGTAAAAATTGAAACATAATTATTTGCAGAGTTTTTTAGTTGACTTTTTTCGTCACCGACGACGCACATCAAGACGCACTAATGTCTCACACAATCTACAGACACGATTTAAATGCGATGCGTGAAGTGAAATTAATGGAATTATTCAGTTCTAATGACGTCGGAGTGGTGATTTGACTGATTACATGGCCCGGTGTTATAAGTGGGAACTGGGGATTTGAAACAATTGGATCGTAAAACACGCCTTCAACGATCGTTTGTTCAAGGAATGTAATTAATTTTGCCCGTGGTTGTAATATTTCAGCTGTTAAGAAGTAACATTATGAATGATGGTAATTATTCAAACGTTAAGAAGTAGACAAATGACTGACGAAGCTAGGTTCAGCAAATTACTTGCACCTTATTAGGATCTTATTAGGTCAAATATGAAATGTCATGTACAGAACGAAAGTAACAGTTGTTAATTAATAATACTAATTTTGGACATCTAACACACAACGCCATCTAGTTTCAAACTAAGCAGAGCTTGTACTATGAAAGCTAGATTGACTGATAGTATACTTTTATACTTTTTTTTGGAAATACATACATATTATATACAGAAAAAACCCAAACTCCGAAACAAATATTTGCAGATCATACAAACATTTAGGGAACCCGGAAATTGAACCCGAGACCTCAGCACAGCAGTCGCATATGCTACCACTGCACTACCGAAGGCAGTTACTGCTTAACACCGGTTTCATGTGAGGTTTATGTATCACTCCGATTGAGCTGGTCTATTTGTGCCGAAGTATCGCTCTTCCAGTCTATATGTATGTATTTACAAAAAAAGTATTATATCAGTCAATCTAGCTTTCATAGTACAAGCTCTGTTTAGTTCGAAACTAGATGGCGTTGTGTATCTGATGCCCGAAATATTATTATTATTACTTCGTTACTTTTCACCGAGTGATTGAGGTTATCAGAGGCTACCCTCTTCGCCGTTGATTCTGAGAGGAAAGGAGAGACACAGAAAGGGTGGTATTGCACTTATATATCTTGAGCTGCAGCTAGGAGCTCAAGATATAAAAGTCCAAGGACGGTGATAGTTACTATCAGGTGATCCGTCTGCTGGTTTTGACCCCTATTACATAAAAAAATCTCCTCAGACGTTTTGCTATGTCCCCCCTTTGTGTGCTCTCTCCAGAATTATAGGGAGGGGGATGGTTAAACCTCAAGCAACCTTATTCGTAAAAGCTAGGAAATGCATTATGTTTATACCTCTACAAATACCGGTCAATTGCATAGCTTCGAATTAAATAACTACGTAGAATATACAATTACGACTGCACGGATGGCGTAGTGGTTTAAGCAATCGCCACGCCACTCGCCACTACGCTGAGTGTTGTGGGTTCGATCCCCACATAGGACGACACTTTGTGTGATTCACAAATTGATGTTGTAAGTCTGGGTGTTCTTTGTGTCCGTTTCATGTATGTTTGTAACGTCCCCTGTGACACAGGATATTTTCCTAATGCGGGCATTGTCTTTTAAATAAAAAAAAATGCATGCAGAAGGACATATTTACCTTGTAACACAAACCTACACGCATATACATATGTAATTATAATAACAAGTAAATATTTGTAACCTACCATCACCGCTAATTATGGTTACTAAAGCCAACCTGAATTTTATGATGGAGACGACCCATGTATCTCACATTAAATTTCCTAGTAATTATATGTACATATCTGTTGTTTGTACAAGAGGTAGATTTATTTGATAGGAAATATGCGATGGTTTAAGCAAATGGTACAACAACAAGGTCACTTGTGGAGAAAATTAACAAAAATAATATCAGCAAGTTACAAGTGTCAAGACTGTATAGTCTTAAAAAGTTATTATTTCCTCTGTGTGTATATTATCTATCTATATGTATATTATCTCCTCCTCTGACTACGTATGAACATGGAAGATTCCTTACGTTAAAGTTATCTTGTACAATGCACACCCACTACAAAATTTAACAAAAGCCCCAGTAACTTTCCTTGTAGTTTGTGTTTATAGCATAGAACGTATTTAAGCAATGAATTGGTTATTAATACAAGGCGAAGATAACGAAATAACATACCAGTTGATAATCTACAGAAATACATGTTTTGATGCATCCTAAGGTCGCCCTTTGTACAGTATGTCTGAAATTTTTATGTACTATACTATTTTGTAAAACTGTGTACAAATGAAGAGTTTTCTTTTAATCTATCTATGTTGTCTGAACTTAAAACCTTCTAACCGCTAAATTGGATATGTTTTTTTAAATATCCCTTGAGCACGGAACCTCACAAATGAGTCATTTACATGTCTACAAGAACTATGGTTACATTCTACGCATAACAAGTAATAAATATTTTAAATTTCAGACCTTTAGAATCCACGTTATTTTTACACGCTTTATATATATATATATATTATTAGCTTCACTTGTATGTTTGTTTGTATGTTTGTAAGCGATTCCTTTGGTCGTGATTTTGACTGACTTTAAACTTTGTAGATATATCGAGGACCGATGACAATACACTAATTTAAAAAAAAAATCGTTTTAAAAAACTAAAAACCACGCTTTCTATAGAAAACCAAACTAAATAGAAAGCGTTTTTTTTTATTTTTATAAAACAATATTTAAAAAAAATAAAAAAAATACAACTGTTTAGATGTAATTAATCCAATAACCTTTTATCTCTAACTACTAACTCCCTCCGACTCCTAAAAACGTCTGGTTTTTACTTCCTACAGTCATTATTCACTAGTTTAATTACTTTATGCTAATGTGCCGTGAACGCTAGTGAAACTTTAAAGCAAAAATGGATAAAAAGCAATCGACGCTTTAGATAATGAGCATGTGGAGTAAATGTACCTAAATACGGATGCAGGTCATATTCGTTACTGTACAAAACTCTCCTGTCTGTAAAGAACGCTATACGCGATAAGTAACAATTGCTATTCGTGATACTTTAAAGTATTGTGCGGATGCCTCCACAGTGGCGCCCAACTTGGGGTGCCACTGTGAGAACGGGTGTCATGTCCCTCCAACACAAAGGGAGGATTCTTCGACCACGACGGCTGATGTGGGAAAGTTGTATATATGCTCATCGGTAAGACAATATTAATATCGTTATACAGGATTAGCAGTTACAGTTATCGAACAACGTTCGGTGTGCCTTCGTTAGATGGCGCTGTAGTATGTTTCTGTTTCACCCTATGTGGTAGTCGCCACAATGCATATTTTAAGACTAGAATTTTCTAGGTAGTTACATACTAAGCTTGATTGGGCATGGTGTCAATTCGGGGAGGACGTGAAATAATATGGTCCGGGTCCTCCCAGAGTGGGGCCTGAG